AGGCTGCCCCCCATGTAAAGGAGGGGTTCAAGAGATCAGCACTGGACATGGGTGAAATAAGGGTTTTTATAGTTCAGGGGTAGGAGGCTTCCAAATAGGGGATTTGGCAGGTTGATGGACGGGGTTACAGAAGCTGAATATGAGCATAACACGTTGATCATTACAAACACCTGAAACAAAGACATGGTTTCAAGGTGGTCATAACAAGGTGGTTATGACAAGGAGGTCATAGCAAGGTGGTCATAGCAAGGGGGTCATAATGTTCTTTTGAAACAAAGTCACTGTTCCCATTTCCTGGAATCAGCAGTACAGAACCGTTTGTAGTTAAGGTTACAGGTGGGACACAGCCCAATCCTTGAGAAACAGATTTAATCATAAACAGGAATGAACCTAGGTTGTCTTTACTATAAGATGGGTTTCAAACCCCAAATGGAGGCAGGCTGGTTGATCAGCTGCACTCAGAGTTATCTCAGAAACAGCCTTACTCACCTCTAATACCCAAAGGTCCCGTGGAAGTTAGGCGGTTGGTCTTCCCATCTTCCTGTCCTCTCCTCCCCATCCACAGCACTCAGTGCCACCCCGCTGCTCGTTCCTTCACCGTGGCAGTGGGGTTTGCCTCTTGTCTAATGGCATTGTGTCATGTCAGGGCTTCTCAGTGCAGCAGCATTTCTGCCCTTTGCCCTTCCCCTGGCCATGGCAGTTTGCGTGGAGGAGGCACTCAGCAATATGCCAGAAGTAAAAAAGAGATAGGGACCCCTCAGCTGGTCACCACTGTACCCACGAGGCTAGGCCTGAGCACTGGGGACAGACAGGAACAATCTCCCCCTCATACATCCTTACCCTAACCCTAGCCTACAGCTCCCAGGGTTTCCAGGGCAGGAAGGGAGCTTGGATCACTTCAACTACGTAAGAAACTGAGGCTCCAAGGAGTGGAGCCTCACCCAAGGACACCCACCCAAAGGCTCAGTCAAGATGAGATCTCACTTGTCCTGTTTGTCCTTTAGAAAATCTGAGCCCCTTGCAAAATACAGGTGGAAAAATACTGAGGAGCCAGGTGAATGAGTCACTAATGTCTCCTGTGGACTGGCCAGTGACTCCCCTCCTGCTTTCTCCTCCTGGGTAAGCTCAGATGCGTAGCTGTTTGGGGAGCACATAATTAGAAAGAGAAACCACAGCTGAGACTGGACTGTCTCCTACCACACAGGGGGGACTGATGTCCCCAAGGCTTTGTTTCAGCCTCCACTTGGCACAGGAGACAATCTTAGTGTAAGCACTATCCAAGACGGCCCAAAGTCCTCCTGAGGCTGCAAAGCTGACCCGTGTAGAAGAACGTCACAGTCTCCATGGCCTCTGGATGTCCCCTTGATCCCTGTCTCTACTGTATGGAGAATGTCCTTAGCTATCCAAGGGCAGCCTGAGCATCCATCAGGCTTCCTGCAGTCTACGCTTCCAACATTTTTCCTCTGGCTCCAACAGTTACGTTCACTGCAAAACTGAGCCTACCCCAAGGCTGACTGCAAATGTGGTGGGCTCTTCCCAACAGCTCTGTGGCAGCGGCTGTTGGTTCAAGTTCCCAGTCATGAGGAGCCCACGCTGCAGCCTTTAATAACTAAGCAGGGCCTAAAACCAGTCATGGGAGTTAACAAGGCCATCTGTCATCTAGGACCAGAAAACAAAGGACCTGCAGGCTTCATATTACCACACTCTAAGCAAGGACGCAACCCTGGAGGCCCAGCCTCAGGAGGCCATCAGACACCTGTGGTCACTTCATGTCACTTACCTTTCTTCTACCATTTCATATGTTATCCATGGAAGGCTAGTCTAAGTTAACCAGACTTGTTACTGCTGCTGCTGCTGCTGTTGTTTTAAAGACAGGCTCTTACAATGTAACCCTGGCTATCCTGGAACTTACCGTGTAGCCTAGGCTGGCCTCAGGCTCTTAGGTCTCCCTCAGTCTCCCAAGTACGCCACTACTCGTAGCAACAACTAAGTTTATTTAAAAGCCTGTTTTGTGATTTTGGTATTTCCGTGGTGTTTGTGTCTGGCAGCCTTGGGATCTGGACATACTGGTCCCATCATCATCCCGGGCATCAGGTGGAATCTCACTATGATGGAGTGTTGGCTTGGTGGGACAACAGCTGAGCTTGAAGGGCCTGTGCCAAAGCAGTTCTCCTTGCTCCAGAATATGTAGGTGGCCACACAGTTCCAGTTTGGGACAAATCTCAGAGGCCTGCTTTTGGAAAAAGGAAGTGTCACAGTTAGGTTTAGCCGACCCCAGTGGTGGGGATGATGGAGTGAGAAAATGGGGAGAGCTGGTGGACAGAGACCAGGTGAGGAAGATCCCAGGGTGGTTTAAGATGAGGCCGGCTGGATGGTCATGTGGGTTAGGCAGACAGTCACGTAAGCTTCTCCGTGCCTGGGTCTGGGCGGAGCAGAGCCTGGCGGAGCTAGGGAAGGCTGCTGTTTCGTTCTGAATAGACCCATCCTAGTTCCTAAGTAGGAAAGTAGATCCAGACATGGCTGTTGACTGTTATTCTATTTATTATATGTTTGACATTGCTTTTTTTTTAATTGCTCGGAATTAGAGGTCAAAGTTCATAATGACAGCATGTATTCCTAGACTTAAGGTCGACAGTGGACAAATAGCACACATGCTTGGGTCAGACCCCAGGAAATGGAAGATTCGTTCTTTCCTATTCTTCCTCTCCATCCATTTTAAGTGCCCCAACCCTCAAACCTCCATTTCCCACTGAGAGGACTGCTTCAGATAGTTTTTCCACTTTAAGTCAAGCGTATTGACAGACTAGACTAGAATGCTAAAATTACCTGCTAGGGAGGGCAGACCACACACACACCAAATACAGAAGTCCCCTGATTCTTCCTAGTTGCTAATCATGGCCATGTCTTCCATTTCACCAGCACAGTGATTGCCTCCACTCAAGGGGCCTCAAGTGAACCCTCTAAAAGCCCCCTCAGAGCCGTCTGGAGCTGCTAACTTCCATGGACACCCGTGGTTCTCAACCGTCTAATGCTGCAACCCTTTAATACAGTTCCTCGTGTTGTGGTGACCCAGAAACCGTAACATTGTTCTGTTGCTACTTCATACCTGCAATTTTGCTACTGTTACGAATCGTAGTGTAAATGTCTGATATACATGATATCTGATATGTGACCCCTCCCAAGGGTCGTGACCCACAGATTGAGAACCACTGATCTGCACCCTTTCCTGCCCCACATCGGAAAGCAGGAGTGGCTTCTCTTTTACACCTGGCTGTTCCCACCCCACACCTGTGGGGCCGGTGCCCAGAGGTGATTGCTGCCCTGGAGACATAATAGTGGCGTGAGTTCTTGGTGCTGTATTTAGTTGTACAGTTGAGCAATGCTTTATTCCATAAATTAGAGTGTATGCTCCAAGGGACCCACAGAGATCGGTAATCCAGGTGAGGAGCAGAGACAGAGAACAGCCATGTTTTAGTTACAGTCCCTGAAACCCAGTCAGGGAGCCGGACAATCTACACCAGGTGGCTTGTGCTGTGTTTTTACAAGGATTAAAGTACTGGGGGCGCCTGACTGCTTAACCAAGTGAAAGCTGCTGAGCTTGGGACTCTGCCCTGTTATCTCCCTCTGCAAAGGTCAGACACTGAACTCCAGCCCAGTGACTCCGTCTCAGCATTCATCCGGGCTGTGGGACCGCTGAGGAGAGACCTGTCCCCAGTCTGTGATGATGTCAGCGTCAGCTTTTCTCTTTTCCGGCTTCCTTTCTTCTTCCTCTTCTCTTCCCCTTCCTCTTCCCCTTTCCTCTTCATTCCTTTGTTTGTTTGTTTGTTTTTTGGGATTCTTGATTTTCTTTTTTTTATATATACAATTGCAAAAGGAGTTTTATGACCCATATGAACTATCCAGCTAGTGTAAACCCAGCCTGGCTTTGAAATAGCTGTATAGATGAGGCTGGCCTGGACCTGCTCCACATCCCAAGTGCTGAGATTACATCTGTGTGCTACCACTCATGGTTTAACCTTCTTTAGTTACCGAAGCACTCCAGGTGTGGGGGAGATGGGAAGTCGGGTGCGGGGCACCTCACTTCCATGAAAAGAGTTTTAAAGAGCAGAATGTGCCGTTCACTCCGGCTGTGCTGTGTAATGTTTCATTCCGACTTTGAAAGTCAGCGTCACTTTGATCCTTTCCTGACCTTGCCTGGGTTTGACAGGCGAGCGGGCACTTGAGCGCTCGTATCTTTAAATGACCCTTAACTGATTTCCTGGAAGAATCGGGTCACAGATTGGACAAGTGGCACTCTGCTTAGGGACTGCTCATGGCTGGAAATTGTTTTGTTGGGAAGGGGTCTGACCAAACTCTTTAGCTCTGTGCATCCTTTGGAAAAGAAGTACATGTTTGCTGCTAAGGCCAAGGCTAGAAAATGACAATGAGGAGGACGTGCTTGTCTTTATCCAACTTGATCTTCCCTCCAAATTCTGCACATTCTTTGGATACTTACAAGAAACAGCCTCGCTCTGGCCTCGCCATCCACGATCATCCCGGCTCTCCAGGAGGAAGCATGAACATCTGTTCATCACTTTCCATTTGAAAAATTATGCAGATCATTTTCTGACATCTCAGCTCATCTCCCCCACCCATCCACCTCCCCATCCCCATCTCCGCTCCCATTCCACTCAAACATGAGTTACACTCAAATATGAGTTGGAGCTCTGGGTATGTGCATTTGTGTTTGAATACTCAGCAGGGTTTCTTGAGTGGACAGACATCATAGCAGATGATCTCATACTCAAATGTTGGTCACTGGGCAGAACTGGACCATTGGTGTCGTTTTGTTTTCTAGATCTTTCCACGAGAGCCCAAGAACAGCGTTTGTTGACAACTCTGGTGTGTCTCTTGAGTTCTGAGTGACTGCTGTGAATCGTGGGATTTTTCTCTGGTCAAAGAACAATATGAAACATCCAGAAGTGTTAACTTCCCAGCTGACTCCTGCTCTTTTCTTCCAGTTCTTGAGGATACCGCTGAGTCACTATGGGAAACCACTCTGGAAAGCGAGAGCTAACTGCAGAAAAAGCCAGTAAGGTAAGACCCGGCTGCGGCCGACCCTCCCGTCCTGTGTGGCTTTAGTCCAGCCAAAGGCAAAGCGGAGTTTTCACAAGGACAGTTCCTGAATGGCCGCATGGAGGCTTGTTCTTTGCTTTGTTGTGTGTGTTGTTATTCATTCATTCGGGAGGCTTGCCTGTCAGTGGGTGCATCACATCGTGGCCTGGAAAGAAAACGAAGGAGGAAAGGGGCGGAGTCGTACAGAGGGTGGGAGGGGCCCCGCCTGTGAGCCACTGGGCGCACCCTAGGCTCAGATGCTCGCAGAACAGAGATTGTAGCGTGCTGGCTTTCTTGAATAAATGTCCCCGTCATCCAACGTCCCTTATTTGTCAGTAGTTTTCCCACATTCCGCTATCTCCTGAACCTCCATGTTGAAATCATGAACACTGAGTCCCGTTCGTGACCGGTGACGAACTTTCCTTCCCTGTGGTAGTGTACTTACAGCGCCTGCCTCTTCTGTAGAGGAAGGCCCTGATGTTGGATTGGGAAGCTAGACCTGCGTCTTAGGTGTGGGCAAAGAGGAAGTTGTTGGGCCGTTTCCTCAGCCTGGTACTAATTCAGACATCTGCCTTCTGAGTCCAGCTGTCAGAAATGTGAGTAGATCCAGGGCCTTCCCCCGTGGAATCAGCAATGCCTCTCCCAGTTCCTACCCAGGGTCTTGCTCTGCCCTAGCTGTACGTCTCTGAGTCTCCTAGCAGCCCACACGCAGATGCTCAGCTGTGAGGCAGGGCTTCTGATTGCTCCCCATATCCCACACTTATGACCCAGGTTTTCCCCAGAATTGGGGTTGTCCCCTCTGCCTTCAGAAGCTCACACCGTCCATGACATACCAGCCGACGGCAGCCCAGCCACAGGCTGGTGGGCACTGGTGGTTTCCAGTTCTTTTATGTCCCTTCCCCACGCCTTCTACAGCTTGTCACAGAATGTTTGGAAAGCACAGATAAGCAAGGGCGGGGAGAATAATAGAAACCATCCCCTCCCTCCAGCCAGGCAGAGTTAGGCTCCCCTCCCTCCAGCCAGGCAGAGTTAGGCGCCCCAACTTCCTCTCCCTGGTGAAGTTCCCTTCACGGACTTTCCTAGTGATTGACCAGTGACGCCACTGGTACTTTCTGAATCCCTCCCGACTCAATATCGTCACGTGGACCCCAAGTGGCCACAGAATACTATTGCCTAAATTTTTGTTCATTCTTCATCACTGAAGAATCCTTCTGATTCCGAGGAAATATGCTCTTAGTTATCGTTTTATTGTTCTGATAAGACCTCATGACCAAGGCAACCTACAGAAGGAAGGGTTTATTCGGCTTACAGTTCCAGAAGGTTCCCTCCCCCAGCAAGGCCTCGCCTCCTAACCCTCCCCAAACAGCACCACCAGGGCAAACACCTGTGCCTGGGGGGCCATTCTCATCAAAGCCACCACAAATGTCCATCTGCCTCAGCTTTCTGAGCCCCACTCCCCCCACCCCCACCTAATTCATAGCAGAAGAAAAACCGCTCGAATTCTTTTTCATCAATCTCATGTCCAACAGAAAACAATGTGCCCTGCCACTTGGGACAAAATATGGTACGGCCCTCACAGAGAAGCACTTTTCAGATGTCCACTGCCCCTTTCCTGTAGCCTGAGTGGCGTTTCTTTAATAGCAACCAACAGTAAGGCCTCTCTGTCTGACTCCAGTTCCAAGTCCACTTCCACATCAGCCAAGTGGGCAATCACGCAGGACTTTCTGAGGTCACCCCCAGAAAGGGAGTGAGAAGGTCTATGCTCTCCATGCTGGTACTTCTCCTGAGAGTTCGAAACAGGATTCTCTAGCTTCTCCACTACGGCTTTATAGATATGTAAGTGGCTAGCCAATCATGAGTCGAGTCAAGGTGACTCATTACGATAACACAGTTCAGTCCTGCTGACAGGTTCTGTGGCTGTGGTTGTCTGTAATGCTGGACACTGGCAGGCGTAAGGAACACACTTTGGCCGAGCCGGCTTGATTAGAATCTCTCTCACCGAAGATAGCTCCCCTCTCAGAGCGACCGATTTGAAAGCCCAGCTCCAAGAAGACTCTGTCTCCTTCCTGCTGCCCGACACTGTAAAACAACACGGAACGCTTTGACGTTGCTTCAGCCTGTCAAAGGAAGACAGCTGAGGCTTTTTGCTGCTCTTCAGAGTCCGAGGAAAAGGCCCTCTTCTTCCAGATCCTGAGCTGTGCTCCAGTGTCGGGAGGGCCCTGCAGGGAAAACTCACCCCCATTCATCATCCACCCTCTGATCTGGAGCCATGAACTGGGACTGGCCCAGGGCGCTCCAGGCCCCTCTGTACCTTGAAGAATTCTCCTCCTCCCACACTGAGATACAGGGGCGACCTAACAGCTCTTCCCTGCCCCTCCTTATACGTTCAGCCACACAGCCAGATGCCAACAGTCATGTCAATCTGTCTCTGACTGGCCACACAACAGTAGAGACTCCCTTGGTGTCTCCACTATGAGGGTTCCCTGTGTCTCCAAGGCTTGAACGCCCCAGGACAGCGAGCCCTCAGGTGTCTGGCAGATACCCCCTGTTTAGTACTCTGGTTACACTGAGTCTCTTCTCTTAGACACTCCAGGCATCGTTGGTCATAGGGAAGAGACTAAGAAGGGTTCCTGGCCTTTCCATTGCTCTCCTGCTGAGAAAGACCTCTAGGAAGTTAGGGGAAGGTCAAGTGTGCCACGCTGTGATATTGGCAATGCCCTCGCTGAGGCTCTGCAAGGGAACCCAGGTCCTGCCATCCAGCTGGAGAGGACAGTTCCGGAGTCCCATTGGGGAACAAAGGCCACTGCTTAGGGAGGCTGGGGACTGGGCTCCTGAGTCATGATGCAGTCCCACAGACTGGATGTCACTTCCTCCAAGTGCCATTCCTGCTTCCAGAAATGGGGAAGTCCCCGTCTTCTGAGTCTTCAGTCATAAACAACTGCTCCTCATTCATTTGCCAAATTTTTGCCCATCTGTCCATTCTATGTCCAGTTTCCATCTATGCTATAGTAATTTGGAAAACCAGGAAAGGAGATTACTCCAACCGCCCTGGGTAGTCTAGGGGATCCACTCAGGAAGCAGTTGGGGGAACCACACTCCTGGAAGCTTCTGGTGGGGGGTGGACTGGTCTCAGGAGCTAAAACCTGCCCAGGATGTCCTGGCTCAGCTGTCATGGGCATTAGAGAAGGCTAACCCCTCGATCATTTTCTTTCTCACAGGTCACAGGGCAGATGTCTGGGGTCCAGCAATCCATAGGGTGGGTCTCTTGCCAGGCCTTGTAAGCGCCACCTTCTCCGTGTATCTCCCATGGTCCCCTCCCTGTAAGGCTACACTTCCCCTTCTCATGTTGGAGCAGGGCCCAAGCTAAGAGCTGAGGCTTAACTGGGTTTCCTCTTTGACAGGCCCATCTTTAAACAGTTATTTTCTGAGGTGCTGGGGGTTAATATTTCTGCGGATATATTTGGGGGTAGACAATTCAGTTCTCAGCTGAATTTGAGTACTATTTGATAAGTACTGGTAATGACTGGGCAGATGGACGATTAGGGAAGAGAACTCTCTAGGCCTAGCTTGGCACTTGGCTTCAGGATCTGAGAAGTTACTAATACCTCCTGTTGGACAGATACCACAGCACAGGCCAATGCATCATCCTGTCTCTCTCCAGAAAGACCCTATCAGAGTACAGGTGCTACCATTCAAGAAACCTCAGGAACTGGCCTAACCGGCAGGGCAGGCTCCTAAGTTTTATCTTCCTTACATCCTCTGACCTGACATGGAGCTTGTAATTCCTAAGTGGCTACACTCCTTCAAAGTCCAGATATCTACTTGGGGAGAGGGGTGGATTGGATTAGTTCATTCATACATTCTCTCATGCATCCATGAGTGTCTTTTTAAACACCCAGTGTATGCTCAACACTGCTGGACTCTGAGGAGAATCCCAGCACATGCCACCAGCTGCTTAGATGACCTTGGGCTACAGCCCACCTCAGGACCATGAAGGAAGTTATACACTGAAGAGCAGAGCAAGGACACAAAGTATGCCTGCCCCATCCTCAAAACGCCTCACTGCCTAAGGAGGTCCAGTGAGATTTTGACATTCACTGCATTTGAAGACAGAAAAGGGATGCAAAAGGGCTGTGGTGGTGGTTAACGGTTAGTGTCGAGTTGACAGACCATAAAATCACATGGGACGGAGAACCTCAGTGGAGGAATTGCCTTGATCAGATAGGCTGTGGTCATGTTTGTGAGAGAGCATCTTGACTAATGATGGACGTGGGAGGACCCAGCCCACTGTGGGCAGCACCTTCCCTAGGCAGGCGATCCTGCGCTGTATAAGAAAGCTAGCTGAGCACGAACTGGTGAGCAATCCAGCAAGTAGCACTCCTCCGTGGCTTCTGCTTCAGTTTCTTCTTGAGTTCCTTCCCTGACTTCCGGCAACGATGGATGGTCACCTGGAAGTCAACATGAACTTGCATCATGGTCGGAATGTTTTATCACATCAACAGGAAGCAAACTGGACGGGTGCCGCAGAACGGGACACCAGAGCAAGCCTGAAAGGGCCTCAGACCTTAGAGAAGAAATGTGGCACCTTTGCAGATCTGAGAATCGGTCCAAGCATGTTAAAATATCATCAAAAGAAAGAAGAGGCTTTGCTACTCACGATAGCATCCTTTCCCACAAACCTCTTCAGAATGCTGGAGGCCATGGGTTCTGTGAGTCAACTGTATGCCAGCTTCCTAGACAGGGAGAGCCTGTGTTCTTAAAGATCCAGGCTCTATTTGGTTATTGTGATACTTGTCACAGAGGCTGCTGGGAACATGGGTCCATTTTAAGAACTGCTGTTATTGAGAGGGAAGCCAGCTTCTTCATACCCCCTGGAATCTCCTTTTTTTTTTTTTTTTTTTCAGAGTGCTAGGGTGAGCCACCATTCCTCAGCACATGGGGGTGAGGGTGACTTTGCTGCTGAGAACACAGCCTGAGTGACA